ACTCTTTTACACTGGTGGTTGAGAATTCCGACTCTCATTAAACAGACCAAGGATCAAACCGAGGATCGATACCATCTTCAAAGGCATGTGAGACTCATACACTCCTCACCAGTTGCAAATAGATAGTGAAACAAGCAAGTAATGCCGTGTCACTATCTATTAGCGACCAGTAATGACAAGCACTTGAAGCCACCAAAGTCTTCGCATCACGAGATCGCTACACAATGTTTTACTATGGTACACAGAAGAGAAAAATTAATGAGACATTAATAATTATTTTTTCATATAGTATATAATCAGGCAGCATAGGGCCCACCAGCAACCGAATGTTAAAATCGCTGAACACTGGTAGTTTTACCTGGTTTGAATACCTACGAGCCGGTGAGGCTGAATGGGTGTTTCTGTGGTTTTAATTCATGTATAACATGGATACAAGATAATTTCACTTAAACATTCTCCATAAAGACATCTCTTCCCACAGGCAGATAGCTCTCAAGTTGCTATGCTTTAATGAATCAACTCAAAATTAACCACAACCAGTACAATAAATATAGACTTAAATTAAATTGCTCAAGTAGATGCGGCTATCATAATTAAGGGAATTATGCAATTTACAATTAACCTGTGTACTTATGAAGTTTATTTAGCATTTAAACGCTGTAAATATTTTATATAGTATAATAATTAAATTATTTTCTCGCAAACTCCAATTTCATTTATTCAAATACTTGATTATAAGATTCTACCAAACATTAGAGTAAAAATATAGCAAAGAAAGCAGTCTTATACTCGAGTACTCTGTATGTAGAAGGATAAAACATAAACACTAGGTTAGGGTAATTAAGACAAAGCAGCTCGACAACTAGTGTCTACGGGAAGGGATGCCTTTGTGAAGAACTTTTTATGAGAAACTGGCTCATACTCAATTATACATAAGGAAACTGTGAAAGCCAACCATGCAGCCAGCCCAGTCTTGGGCATGTGAACTCAGGTCGAACTACCACTGTTCAGCGACTTTACTACTCAACTGCTGATGAGCTCAATAAACTTAAAATAATTTCTTTTTTAACACACATTTATGAAATTATTGCACACAAAAAAGTGCAAATAAATAGAAGAAACATGCTAAGGATAGGAGATACTGAATGCATATAAATTAGTAATCCTGCCTCATTTAGAACTAAATAATCAACATATAAAGAAAAGTGATTTACAGGATTTCTGCTGTTGTAAATAATTCAATATAAAGAATTTCAATCATTCCACACTTTTGTATTTATTGTATATCTGAACTGTTTGACCATCTTTTTCTAAATAATGAACAGTCTCGAATTTAACTTTCAAAATTTTTTCACATTTTAACTGTAAATGCATCCGAATAATTGGTTGGGCATTACAACTCATTAATAATGCTAAGAATTGAGAAGAAATTCAAGAAAGGGGAGGAATAACTCTATTTGAGATAATATGTGCAAAGAAAAAGTTATAAAAATAATCCAAAATAATGTTTTAACAAAAGAATATATCAAAGGACTAAGATACATAAGATGAAGATGGATACAGTGCCAACTGCATTGAGACAGAACCTGTTGGGAATGGCATCACTACGCCAACGAATCAAAGGCCAGATAGAGACTGACGCAGTGGCGTGACGAGGGGGTGTATGATGCCCTGGGCACTTCTCACAGAGGGGCTCCAAACAAGATTTTCATCATATCACTGTTTTTTGGGGGGGTGCCAGAAAAGGTATTTTTGCCCCAGGCGGCAGTTATGCTTGTTACTCCACTGGACTGACGTCATGGGACGCCAGAAAAGGACGAGTAGTTGCGGTTGAAATAGCTAAGGACAATGTTTGCACTATGTAACTAGATATTTCTTATTCATTTAACTTGTACAAAAGTGTAAGTAAACCTTTTTCCTTAAGTTTAAAAGATTTGAAGTGCTCCATTTATGATAAGATAGCTGTTAATTCATTGGGGAGATGACTTATGAGTCCTTTCTGAGCTATCCATTGTTTGAAACCTAGCCTTACATAACATAACAGAACCTGCTAGCTTGCTTTCTGACAGAATACAACAGGTCTCTGCTCTTGAAGTTGTTGGGATGGATCTAGCTGATCAACTTAATTTAACAGAAGGCTCTAAAAGCTCGAATGCCCTTTCCACTAGCGGTGTTTACCGAGATATACATCACTTTTTACCATGGATTTTCTCTTAAATCTAAAACAATTTATTGCTCGCAGGCATAGGCCCAAAATTATACTTAGTGATAATGGGAAGAACTTCATAGGGCCGGAAACATGTTTCAAAGCTTAGACTGGAAAACCTGTGAATCAGAAGCTTCCAAGATCTTTTAGGACTGAATGGACGACTCCTTCTGCTCCCTGGTGGAGTGGATTTTGAGAGCATATACTTCAAGTGACTAAACGATTCCTTCCATATGTTTTCGGAAATGCTTCTGTCTATTGTGGGGAAATGAGAAGCATCCTTTGCGATTGTTTTGCTGTCATACCATTGACTTACTTGTCCAAGGACCCAGGTGATTTGATTTTCCCGATCTTGATCTTTTGGATAAGATCGATGTCGAAAAAAGATATCACCAGATCCTGAGAGAATATCCAAGAGATTTTGTAGGGGTATCATTTCTAAAATGGAAAATATCATGGGGAAAACTTTTGAAATTAATTTTATTCTCCCAAAAAGCTTCACATGCGAGATTTAGTGATTCGAGGAGAATTCTCAGGCCTCTAGCGAAGCCTGTTGAACTATACACAAGAAAAGATCAAAACATGTATTGTGCATTTGAAGATTTCATGGGGTGAGATTATACGGCCAGACAAAAGAATTTATCCATTAGAAATTAACCCTATTTTACAGATATGAGTTCTAGTGAAACTCCAAGTGCAGAGCATACTCAAGATGATTTAAGGAGAATCTGCCTTCAGAATAAAACTGTTAGAAAAAGCAGAACTGTCAGACTATCAGCAAAATTTAGAGATGCTTAATACTACAGTCAAAAGTCGTTAATTCGGACCTCAAAGCTACAAACGTTCTGTGCATGAGTCGCGTTGACGTAAGCGCCTGCGTGCAAGACCTTTACGGCTATGCGTGTGCGCAAGCACATAATACGTTAACGCATGCTCGTTTAATGTATGACGGACGGTATAAGCTAAAATTATCTATTTCAGTTCATGTTGCAGATTGCGTTGTTCTTAATCTCGCATGGATCCGGTTTTTATTTTTGCAGACTGTTAGAGCAATTTATAAAAGAGCTTGACTTTCGATTAGTCATAGAATTTCCGTGCTGGGAGCTCCAAAGGATCTACAAAGCGAAAGTATGTTGATTTCCATAAAACAAGTGGAATTGCTGCAAAAAATGGATAATCTAAAGAAAGTGACAGAGAGGTTAGTGAAAACGAAAAAATTTTGATTGACAAGTTAGTTGGTATTTTCGGCACAGCAATTACAGGACTTGAACAGCGGAACTTTGTAACTGAACAAGAAATTACGTCTGTATATATAGAATTAAAGAGAAAGTATTAGCACATAAAACAAAGCAACTTAAAACAACTTACACTGAAAGAAATGTTTAATAAAGTAAGCAAATAAATATTAAGCTTTTTTTTTTTTTTTTTTTTTTTTTTTTTTGTAAATTTTGATACTTTTTAGATCTAATTGTTCTTTATTTCATAAATTTCCGGTTTCATATTTTTAATTTTATAATTTCTGCATGCCATCTTACCAGATTTAAACTGATGATCTATAATCCGGAATCGCCAAAGTCCCGACGAGTCCGGATTAACGACTTTTGACTGTAGTTTAAAGTACCTTATTTTGGACAGCAATTGTCTTATAATTTGAAAATTATCTAGTAACTTCCTAAATTGTCAATTTATGATTTAATGCTAACTTTGATGCAAGTGTAACTGAATGGTATTTTGGATAAGCTGTATAATGAAATGGTGACAGTATTACATAAACGATATAGCAGCAGTTCTCAACCTTTTGACTAACACATACCATCTAAACAAAAATTGAAAACCTTTAGTACCACCACAACTCTTAAACAAAGCTCAGATCACATAAATTTACAAGTATTGGAGAAAAAAAACTCAATCAAGATGTCTGGATCTTAATTTTTGAATTTAATAGTTAACATTTTTGAATTTAACAGTTAATAGCTTCTTTATGTATCAACGGTTCTTCTTTGTGTACCAACGGTTAAGAATCCCAGCCATTATAGCATTATTTTCGTGTATCACTAATTTAATTTTGATGTTAGCATTCTTGGATTGGCAACACAAAATACTTTGATTCTAAAAGCTGAAGTTTAGATTTTTTTTTTTTTTTTTTTTTAAATGTATATGGCATGAAGAAGTCAAACAAAAATCAGCGTAGTATATTATTCTTGACTAGTTTTCCTGGTTTAACTACAGAACCATCGAAACTAGTCTTGCAAAATTTACAAATATTATGCTGATTCTTGTTTTTTGACTTCTCCAATAAAGATGCTATGTTGAACAAATTATTATATTATGGATTTCAATTAAATTTTGGACTCGGAAATTGTCGGATAGTTAATTTCTTGAAACTCACTGCAACATACCAAGAGAGCATTAGAGTATTGAGAGATCACTGTGCGAATTCATGCATCCGAGGTTTTTTTTTACATTTTTTTAAAAGCGTTGTGTTCAACGTTCTTAGTAATAACTACTGATTGTGCTCTGTTATACTGACAAAACCTATAGCAGCATGTTTGTGAAGAGTTTGAAAACAGTAAACTCTTCGGGACAATAAATTTTATCAAGATATCGTCGATCATCAGTTCTGTGTATATTCAATTCATTACGAACCCATATATGCATGTAACATTCTACTTTCAACATTTTTTTTTCAAATTTAAAATGAAAAAATTATCAATAAAATTTTAGAATTTAAATTATATTGTGTTAATTTCTAGATGAAATGCTAACTGAAGATAGTAAAACATTAAAAACTACAAAAAATATGAATACCAGTTTTATTTTTATTAAATAGATACCAAATCTGAAGTATATAATGTTCTCCTAAGTAAAATTTACGAAAACAATAAAATACTTTAAACTGAATATTCAATAAAAACTTCACTCTGTACTTTGTACAAAATATTTCATTGTCTACATTTTAAATTTTACATTTAGATGACATAAAAACTCCTAATGTTATTAAATTAATAACTGTCTGTCATAATATTTAAAGTCATTGCAGAATTAATGATAAAAATCAGGCTGTACAATTCATGTGACCCAGTGGGTACCTACAAAACTATACATATATGCTTTACAAAATCCAAGCTTGCATCATTAACACATATTTACATTTGTGAACAGCAGTGCCTTGATATAAAAATACAATGAAATATACTACATAAGCAAGATACAATTACCCAAACATATAACAAAAATCAAAGTTATTGAAAGAGTCTATAGTAATAATACAAGCTTATTTTTACAATACTCGCATACAATTAAAGAAATTTTCTATAACACATATATCAAATATCTTAAATTATGTCAACATCTGATTTTGCCTAAATACATGAACTTTCATGCAATTCTTTAAGAATTATTTACATATTTATAAAACCCCACTCTGATACTAGCAAACTCAGCCATCTATCAATTTAAATTATTTTTTTCAAGTTTACAACAGTCAATCAACAAAAAATTGAGTTTAAATACTAAAAACTTTCCATCAAGAAGTATTTAAAACTGAATATTAAAAATGCTTTTACTACTTTGATATATATATATATATACACATGTGTACATGATTAATAATTGCAATACTTTTTGTACTTTCAAGTCATAAATTATACATTCTTCTTTTCTGAATATATCATTTTGAAAATTTAAAAAATGAATTATGCATAACATTAATTTGCTAGTTTCAATTAAAAAAAAGCCAAGTAGAATAAATTATGAGACACCCAATGTTTTGCATTTTCAGAGACATTCACCAAAACACACAACAATAAAATTGGAAGTAAATCAAACAATTTATTAGCACAAAGTATTTGTAAAATGGAAAATATCATGGGGAAAAATTTTTAAATTAATTCCATCATTCTCCAAAAACTCCATCTGTATGATTTACAAGTGAATTATCATGGTCAATCATTTTATATTGAAACAGTACCACAGTGTTAAATATCATAAGTTTGAATCTCTAATGAAGCATGCATGTTTTAATTAAGCTTATAGCCATGCATAATTAGTTCTTAACTGTTTTACATGATTTAGAAACTAAATATGCATAAAAAATATACTTTATTATTCAACCAGTGTCATTAAATTTTAGGAAACACTTCCAAGTACTTTTGCAACACAATTCGTGAAGTTTTGTATGCACTCATTAATAGTGTATAAACAAACGTTTGAAAAAAACCTCATATTCTGATTTAATTATTATTTCTTTACTGTAATAATAATATATACATATATATATACACAATTAAATATATATTCTTAGCAGAAAAGGTGCAGATTTCCTGACTTTTTTTCACTTCGAAGCAAGTCTTTAAGCTTCCAGAGTTGCATTCTATTTCCGGAAGGGGAATCATCCCGTAAAAAGGGTTATTTGCATTGTCGATTTTTTTTGCATGAAAAATTAAAAGGTTGAATTGTGATTGGAAAAAAATAGAAATTTTTATATGGTTTTGTTCTTTGCGTGGTTGTAGAATTTTTGGGGATACATTATATATTCACAGATTTTGATACTTGCACTTGACTTACATATGCTCTCAGAATTTAAAAAATGATATTGTAGATTAGTTCTCAGCAATAATTAATCATTTATTTGTAATTCAATTTCATTTAAAATTTAATTAACTTTAAATTTGCTTTTTACGAATAGAGAATGTTTGTTAAATGCAAATATATATATACACACATATATAAAATTAACATTTTCCAAGACAACCACCTTTAGTTCTAGAAGATTCTGTGGAGATGGTCATCCTACAGAAGATGATAATCAATTATGTTGATTATTAATTTGTAACCAAATTTAGCTTTTAAAGGCTCTAGGGGTTTATTAAAAGACATCATTATGGAAAATACTCAAGTGTATTATATCTATTTATTGATACAACTATATAAGTAAAATTGTGCATTAAAACAAAAGCTTAGAGAAAAAATTATATTTAATAGGCTTAAATATGGTAAGTGAATAATATTTTTAAATACAGAAAACACATCTTATAAGAAAGGAGAAGGATTACAAAAACCTTAGACAATAAAATGTACTTGGTGTTCTGTTTTGGCTAACAATTTTTTCCCCTAAAACAACTTGAACTACTTAAAATAAATCAATAATTTTATTACCTAAATTATAACCCGATCACTTTTATTAGTATTAAACAGAACACAGGTTATCCTAAAAATGTGTGCTTATAAAACCAATTTAAATGGCAAATTATAACCCAAAGTCAGGCAATGCAATCTTTTATAGTTGGCTTAGCACTTTTTTAGATTACACGGTTTAGTAGCAACAATCAATTCAACTGGTGACATATGGTCTCAGTGGTTAAAAAGTCTGCTGCGTCCGATGCCCAGCAGTTAATTAAAATTTATTCAATAACTCAATTTACTTCAAAATTACAAAATTGCAAATACAGAACTTTATAAGTCTAGTACAATGACAATTAACTATATGAAGCTAATTGTCAGTTTGGTTAGCTCAACAATATAATACACATTTGTGCAAAGATAACATTTCCAGCTGAAATGCAGATTTTGTAATTTTGCTTGGCAAAAGGTTCATATTTCATATTTAAGATAGGCATACAATACGCAAGTGCTTGTAGTCATTTTCTTATATCAGAAAGTATCCCCCATTAAATACCTTCCACATACAGACAAAACTTTAAAATATAATAAATTAAGCTTGTAATATTATATCTTATGCAAAAGCCACTGCATGACATTAAAAAAAATATTAACAGGCTAGGATAAAGACCATATCGCTATTTCGCTTTATATATTAAACAATATTAAGCAAAATTTGCATTAAAATAGTGAGCTAACAAAAAGAAATATATAACTTAAATTAATGTTAATATATATATATATGTTTCATATGAAATAAAAATTACAAAAATACTTCATGGATACAAAAAATTAATCATTAGCAAATTAATTTTCTTATATACCTACATATTTTTCTCAATGTAACATCTGAACTATTACAGGATAAAATTTGCTTTGTTAAGTGTACAAAAATGCACAATAAAAACCTTTAAAAGTTACAGCTAATGCAAACACATACCAATTCAGATGCATAGAAAAGTCATCACTTTCAATAATGAACTTAACAATCATTCTCATAAATGCATGTCTCTCACATGAAATATAAATGGAATTATTTTTACAATGTATGTTCTTAAAATAAATTAAAATACAATAATGTTAAAGATATTACACTCAACTGCATAATTTACAAAACCGGGATAAATATAAGCAAAGAGAAAAATCAAATTATACCTGGAATAATAAACACTCTTTGCCATAATTAACAGCAATCTACAACTGCAACATATATATAGAATCAGTGGCAAAAATACTGAAGAAGCCAACTAGACTAGCTAGTTCAAATTTAGTCTATAAATATATATGGATTACAGGCAACGCCATGTTCTTAAATGAAAATATTTTCCCTAATATTTACACGTATAAAAACAAAATGTCTTGAATTAATTCATTGGTGGTCTTCCTCCTCGAGCAGCTTCTTCTAAAGTTCTTAATTTGAGTTCTCTTTCTCTCTGCTGTTGTTGCCTATCAAGTAAAGAAATTCAAAAATTTTTATAAAAACTTTGGTATTGAGAAGCAGAACATTAAACAGCAAATTACAGTCAAAATTCATTATCTAGTGTTCAAGTTACTAAAAAGCTCAAGTAACCTGAATATTTATACTTTTTTCAAAAAGTTAAATCAGATAAAACTAAAAAAGAGACTTCTATAAAGCCATCGTGAAGCCTATACAGGGTGTTGTTGCTGAACAGTACGATTTAGTGTTAATAATGAATAAGCATGTCACACAATAACCATGAGATTCTCACCTAGGTTTCATGCAAAGCTGATCAATTCTTGATAAGCTGGTTTAAATTTTCTACAGAAGGCTACACAAGCTAACTGCAATTTACCTGCTTTTCTCTTGAATTTTGAAAAAATTATAAGTTGGGACTTGTCTTTGTCCTGTATGGACACCGAACGCTAATGGGCATCATATGAGATTTTATTTGAAAATGGATAATGCCAATGTAATGTTAAACGTTATCAGTGATTCAAGTTTTTTATCAGCTTATATATCCATAACTTATATTTGTTGATTATATAACTTAATAAATAACTTTAAACTGTTACTTTAAACCTTTGCCAGAGTGACTGCTACCAGCTTGAGAGCACCTCCACCAACTTTCATGATTAATGAGATTGCATAATCAGATAAGATATTTTACTTTCGTATATTTAAGGCCTGCCAACAGTGCACACACAAGGTGGGTTTCAAAACCCCTACCATCACCTTTTTTTTTTTTTTTTTCCAATTGATTAAAATCCTATGTATATATATAAAATAATTCCAAACAAAGGTAGCAATATTTTTTTTTAAAAAATTAAAAACAATGAAATTTCTTTTCTCTTTTTCTTTCCCTTCAAAACTGAACTGCATGCATACATAAAACACCCTCTTATTCTCAAACCTGAACTATTCTTTTGCTTCCTACTGTACTTTGCGCTCACCACATGCATTAAGTCCACGTCACAACAAAGTCAAAAATTCTTCATTACTTGTATTTCATGATTCTACATGACAATGTAATGGGCATATTCTTTAAATGCAGCACAAATGTATTTTTATTTTCAAATTGTAAAAATATAATTTTTAAACTATACTGTAAACATGAATGATCAAAATCGTAAAAAGAAAACAAGACATATTATTGTCTTTTGTAAAAAAAAAAGTACATGAAGATGAAAAACTAAATATTACGGAAGCTGTTAAGCTGCTAGAACTAGTGAGTGACCTCACCACTGTCGCATTTATTGCCACCTTGAAGATTTATTGCTAGATGCGAAAAATGCTCAATCATTTTCTCAAAAAACGCAAAAAACTTCGTTGGCGCAAATGCCAAATTGCAAAGAATTAACAATTTAATAAGAAATCCTGACAAAAAATTAGCAGATTATTTAGGTGAAAAAGGAATCGTTTGGAAGTTTATTTCCCCACAGACACCTAATTTTGGTGGACTATGGGAATCTGAAATTAAATCCATGAAATATCACTTAAGGCGGATTGTAGGTAATGCAAGGCTGACTAGTAACTCAGATAGTCTGTTTTAAATTCTTGCCCTATTATTCCCTTATCCTCAGATGTAAATTATTTAGAGGCTTTAACACCTGGCCATTTTCTCATTGGAAGACCCTTGAATGCTATAGTAGAACCCAAATTAACTGATATACCTGAAAACAGACTCTCAAGATGGAAACAAACGATCACATTTGTCCAATTGATATGGAATCGTTCGCATAGGGACTATTTAAACACACTACAACAGCGTTCAAAATGGAAGGTAGAATGAACACAAATATTAAAATAGGTATGCTAGTACTAGTTAAGGAGTACGAGCTTTCTGTTAGTAGATGGGTATTAGGGCACATTATAAGACTTTTTCCTGAAGTTGACGGTAAGGTTAGAGTAGTAGAAATACATACAGCAAAAGGCATCATTAAGCGTGGAATTACAAAAATTGCAATTTTACCCCAGGAAGAAAGTTAAGTATTAAGTTAGTTAAGTATTAGCTTATTATTGCTACAAAATGTACAGGGCACGGTTACATAGCTCCCCCCCCAAAGGTTTAGGGTTGCCATAAATGCCAAGAGAAAAGGCAGGGTTGCCACATTTGGCGAAAAATCGTCCACGTGGCAGCAAAATTGACGATATACCATGGACGAATGGAGAACCTCCTGAAACGAATTCCGAACGGTTTAGCCCAGAATGTTCTCAACACAAGCCGAAAACTATATAAACCCTGCTGGCCTGCAGTCAGTCAAGTGTATCGTCGGGAGGGCGAGTCAGAGTGCTTCGTATCGAGTACGAGATAGTTAGTCTGTCCGTGCGGAGTCAATCGAGTTGACAGCCGGGCAGTGGGTCGTTGAGTGCATCGAAGAGTCTCTTAGTGTATCACGGTTAGTGCATCATCGAGAGAGTGTGTTAAGCTCCGGGAACAACTTAACCGAAGAGTCGGAAGCTGTGCTCTGTGTGTCGTCAAGTGCATCTCGAGTTGTAATGTGGAGAGTCTTGAGAGTATGTGGAGTTTCGAGCACAGTCAGGAGCTGTACTCTGGTGCTTCACAGTGAAGCTGTCTTCACCGTTGTAGCCTGATAACCTAAAGGCTGTGTTGCTGATTGTTCCAGGGAGTGTATAGTAGATCTTCGATGACTGTAAAACGTGACTTTGGAGCTGTCCTGATTAATACCAGCCAATAAAGTGTGTTTTGATATTCCATCAAGTGCTGTCATCGTTATTCACTCCAAATCCACATGAAGCCCGTACGAACGTGAAGGAAGAAAATAAACACAACACTTGGTGTTAGGAAGAAAAAAAATCGGTAACAACTGGTGTCAGGAGTGAGGTTTGCGAGTGAATACCAGTGACCCGCCTGCAGAGGAAAGCCATGATGGAGGGAGCGAAGATTTTGATGAACTTCTTAGCCGAGATAAAAGTTGGATATGAAGAGATGAGAGCTGAGATCAAAGCCGCACTGAAAGAGATGGAAGCCGGATTGGAAGGGAAGAAAGTCGGAAGAGAAGAAATAACTGTCGGCCAAGAAAAGTTGAGAGGGCAATTCTTACAGATGAAAGGGGAGCTTACAGAAGAAAGTGGAGCCGTAAAAGAAGATGTGGAAATGACAGAAGTGACATTTGAAAAATCTGAGAATGAAGGAAGTAGCTGGTGAATTATCCGAGAAAGCTAAAGAAATAAAGGATGAAACATCTTACAAGATTAAAAAGAAAGAAAACGAAAAGATGAAGAAAAAGACTGGGAAGACGCTTCTCATCCTCAGGTGTATGAAGTTGAACTGGAAGACAGTGATAATACTGTTTGTAAAGATGAAGAAATAAAGTGGCTTGTAAAGCTTCTGAAAGGGGTGAAGAAATAATTCATGTAAATAAATTTCCTGATTCTCAAGTGCCTGAAGTGGAAGTGGAAGAAAATGAAAATGTGACTGTTAAGTTCAACAAAACTGATAGTAAAATTACAAAGTTGCAGTTAGCAAGAATTGAACCATCTGAAAGTGAATGTGATGCAGAGATGGAAGAAGCTGATATACAGCTTAGGCAATGTGCTCCGGCATTGCAAGAAAATACACCCACTTTGCAAACTATGTGTGCATCTCATAGTGAAGATTATGCAGACAAGGACTTGATTCTAAACCAATATGCTTCTGTTTGTAAAGAATTGGGTTCCGTTCATAACTCTGATGCAGAATTTGAAGCTGGTTCCCAGGAAACAGGGGGGAAACGAGTATGTACCAGCTGCTAAAAATACCGAGGTGAACTGTATGCATGCTGCAAATGAACTACAGAGTGGTAAACAAACTGTTTCACATCTTTCTGTGGATGACAAGTCTGAAAGAAGTCTGATATCTTCAGATTCCGATATCAGGGTTCGTACATATTTCTGCACAAGGAAATTAAGTACTTTTAAGGACTTTTAAGGACCATTAATGAAAAAAATTAAGGACCTATGAGGAAATGGGAACTGAATAAATTCAACTAAAAATATTATATCTATGCCTGAACGTGAGTAGGATGCATTATTATTAAACATAACTTAATTAACATAATCATTAATATTTTGAGAATAAAATTAATTTTATGAAATTTATCAAGTAGCATTAAATATTTTACGCTCATAATAACTGGACATATCTGAAAGAAGATAAGTGACATTTTAGTTACGTTTTACTAACAGTTAGCTTTTTTTTTTTTTTTTTTTTTTTTTTTTTTTTTTTTTTTTTTAATGTCTCATTTTGTCACATACTTGCTCAGTCTAGAGGTTTAGTAAATAGTAAGTAGATTTTAATGTCAAGCAGCATAGGTTAAAATGAGCATTAAAATCAGAATCAGCATGATTCATAACAAAAGACTGGCTGTTGTCACCGCTCCTGCTCGCCTATAAAGAGACCTGAAAGGCCTGATGTAGGCACAGTTAGCAAGTTTTGAAAGTTAGCTGACCTCTGTCTGACGCTGTTAGTGTTGCAACTTTGTGTAGAGTTCCAGAGGTTGTATGGCCCACCAGCGGCCGAGCAGTCAAGGTCGCTGAACACTGGTAGTTCGGTCCGAGGTTCAAATCCCACGAACGGGCTGGCTGCATGGGCGTTTTCATGGTTTTCCCCATGTGAAACGTGTATACGATCCAGTTTCCCTTAGAAAGTCCTCCATGAAATGCATCCCTCCCATAAGGCATCCCTCCCCTTAGGCAGATAGCCCTCGTGTGCTTTGCCATAATTAAATACACCAAATACACACCAGAGGTTGTAACTCAGTTAATATACTTTAAGGTTCTATTAAGCCACTAAAGCATTAGCGGTGATAAGTTGTTTTGCATTAAGTCTCACGAGATGCAAAGAATAAGTTTCACATGAATTTTTATATTTTTGTGTTTTACCTTGTGACCACGATAAAGGTTTAACACGTAATTTACATAACTGTACATATCTTTGAAGAATAATTTTCTTTCTCTTTACATATTGAGTTTCTTTTTTCAATAC